AGGACCTCTACAGCCCTGAATGTCAGCGGAGACCAGGACAACTAGATGAGCCCCAGATACAGATCCCCTGTAATGACCTTGTCTCAGACGACCACCGGGACAAGACCACAGGAACCAGTTGACCACAGGAATAAACAACAGTTGAGTCCTCTGCACAATGTGGCTTTGCTGCAGCCTGGAGTTGAACTGCTGGTTTTGTCTGGTCAGAGGAGAACTGGCCCCCCGACTGAGCCTGGTTTCTCCCAAGGTTTTTTCTCCATTCTGTCACCGATGGAGTTTTGGTTCCTCTGGCTTGCTTAGTTGGGGACACTTAATTTCCAGCGATATCGTCGACTTGATTGCACAGACCCTATTTAAACTGAACTGAGCTGGATGATGAACTGCCTTTAACTGAAAATTGAGTGTTTACTATTGTCATTTTGCATTATTGACACAATATTTTCCTAATTAAGGCTGTACAGTTGCTTTGACACAATCTGTATTGTTAAAAGCGCTATATAAATAAAGGTTGCAGAAAGCTGAACTCTAGTACAGTTTTTAAATCATCAATCTTTTCTTGGTAAATGTGAGAGACCACATGAATTCTGTCAAAGAGCCAGTGTGGCTCGCAAACCATAGTTTCCCGACTGCTGAGCTAAGAGCACAAGACACTAATAAATCTGAATCCAGTGACGTTGATGGTTAACATTTTGATGAGCATTAAAGGAATAATTCCCCCCAAATTTAAAATTGTGTCTCATTTAAACTTCTACATATTCAAACTGGCAGTGTCACAATGTGTCAGAACTTCTGGGCACTATGCTATTTTTGTCCAGAAAAAAGCAAAAAAGCAGTGTGAACATAACTCCTTTTCTGTTTAATGGATGGAAGTCAGTATGGGTTTGGAATGAAATAAGGGTGAGAAAATAATGTCTAAATTCACCTTTGGGTAAACTACTCCCTGGATGTCTCCTCTGATTCACTTACAACTACTCAGTGAATCTAGCTTGTTCCTTTTTTGTAGCCTAACAATACATATCACTAGCTAAAAATAGAAATAATAGTTCTTTATTACTGACCTGTGCTATTACCTAGCCATGTTTACTATGGATATTTAGACCTCTTGTAACACGTGTTGCTGTAATCACAGTGCCCTCTGCTGGAGTAGAATATAATTAAGGGTTCCTGTAGTACTTGTAAAAAATCTGAAAAGACCATTCTTTTTCAAAAAGGCATTGATCATTTGAAAATAAACAAAATAAAAACATCATATAAAATAAAAATGGTGCATTTCTGATGAGAAAATATTTAATTAAGTCAGCATTGTTCATGTCAATTATTCAACAAAGTTGGCCTACAGTAAAAAAAAAAAAAATGACATCATAATTCTGGTGAAAATTTCAGGATCAGAGAGACATAAGAAGGAAATACACGCATACTTACTTAGCCAACCACAGCCTATTACCATGATCATCTCATCAATATGATGCAGTCAGAACAGAGCACAGCTAACAAAAATCTATGCCATCTAACCCATAGAGTAAGCTTCTAATGAACGTATGTTCCGGGGTTGTCCAGGAAATTATTGATCTTCTTTGCCACGTCATCAAGCTCATTAGTATTGCTGTATTTCAGGAGGTTGTGGGATCGTACAAAGTAATGCCGGAGATAATGCTGGCTAACACACTTATGTAGCTTTTGCACCAGCCGTAATACACATCCTCTGAAGTCTCTCCAGTCCCTGGTGCAGGGGTACTTCTCACATGTCCAGAAAAGCAGTGTCTAGATGATGTAAAGACAGTGGCAAACTGTGTAAACCTGAATTTGTATATAAGCAGTATGATGTCTCAAAAACAATAAAAGACAAGAAGTGACAGGAAAGGAGTGAAAGGCTGTTTTGCTTGGGCTGGCTGGTACCTGTAGGTGGTAGGCAGTGATGACAGGTTTGCTTCCAGGACACCAGACATCCTCCTTGAGCTGTCTGACCACCCGATAACACTTCCTGCGGCAGCCGCCGTCCTCATCTATATTACTCAACAGCACTTGCTCTGCCCGTGAGAATGACAGCAGCCAGTGGTAGTTTGATGTGGCCATTAGATTGAATCCAAACGACTGCAGGGGATTTATTAGATTAATCATCATTGTATTGTATGTAAACAGTACTCAGGCCATTTTCTGTTTACTAGTTAATAATTGAAATATAGCTAATAATAATAATAATAATAATATGTGACCCTGAACCACAAAACCAGTCTTAAGTCACACGGGTATATTTGTTGCAATAGCCAACAATACATTGTATGGATCAAACTTATCGATTTTTCTGTTATGCCAAAAAATCATTAGGATATTAATGATATATATTAGGAAATAAAGATCATGTTTCATGAAGATATTTAGTAAATTTTCTACCGTAAATATATCAAAAACGTAATTTTTGATAAGTAATATGCATTGCTAAGGACTTCATTTTGGACAACTTTTAAGGCGATTTTCTTGCACCCTCAGATTCCAGATTATTATTATTATTTTTTTTTTACGTTACATCAAACTTTTGAATGGTATGTATCATGGTTTCCACAAAAATATTAAGCAGCTCACCTTTTTTTACATTGATATTAATAAGAAGAAATCTTTCTTGAGCACCATATTAGCAAATTAGAATGATTTCTGAAGGATCATGTGACACTGAAGAATAGAGTAATGGCTACTGTATATTCAGCTTTCCCATCACAGGAAAAAACACAAATTAAAAAAAAATAATAATAATAAATAAAAAACAAACAGACAGCAGTTCTTTCAAATATAATTTCACAATATTACTGTTTTTCTGTATTTTTGAAAAAAATAAATAAAATAAAAATATATTTATAAATTATATGTGCAAATTCATATGTATATATAAGGCTGACCTTAATACAACGAGTGCGCTCTGTGGAGGGCCATCTTCGAAAAAACCGAGGCCACCTAGCTCTCTTTGGCCAGTAGTTCATTAGCTCCACTGTAGGAACCAATTCCACCTCAATTTGTGCCTCTGATGTTTCCACAGCAACACGCACCACTGACCCAACTGATTCCAGCATACTCACCTTACCTGTCAAAGAAAGGCGAAAAGAAAGTTAAAACAAATGAAATGTAGCGTGTATATATGCTGTTACACTTTACGTATAGTGCACATTTTTGCTTGTCCATGTACCCAAGTAGGATTTATTCCTGGATCAACATCATTGTCAAACAGGGTTAGAACTGGGGATACTTAGGGGCTTGAACAACCTATCAACCTATAGTTTCATGTGATTTTGGCTCATTAGAATGTTGATATCATCACATTGTGCTAAATGGTGTTCATGTGTGTGGAAAACTGCGTCTACCATCAACACACTGAGCCTGCGGGTCAAATAAGAAAACAGTGCCTTTAAAAGCCCTGTCTGTCAAATGAGGAGCTTTTTAAACTTCATACGTAAACGCAATTTTTTCCCCCCAAACCAGTTCAGTGAAAATCCCACCCAGCAGCTAATTTCATTGGTTAAGGTTAGGGTTAGATGAAATGTTTAGAATCAGCTGTGGGGCGGAGTTTTCGCTGAACTGGTTTGGGAAAAAAAATCACGCATTTGGCACAGCTCATCTGTTTTCATAGAATATCCTAATAGCTGCAAACAAGCTTTTAATGACTGGAATCTAAATATAGCAGTCAACATTTGAAGTGGATAAAAAACGTTCATCAAAGTTGTCCTAAGACAAGAACGCATTTTGGTTTTAGGTTTTAGGACAACATTGATGAAAGGTTTTGATCCACTTCAAATGTTGACTAGTGTACTTACAGTGGGATCCATCTGAGACCATTTGCATTTTTCTAATGTAATACAAAGTTTTCATACAAATTATTCTCATAACAATTATATATTATAAAAATCTGAGAGAACACTTTAAATAAATAATGCAGTTAACGTGGCCAACATCGATAATTAGCTTAATTATATAATTATTAAATCATTTGAATATATATTACATTAAAATACATTAAATATTTCTCATTCATTTTACATAAGCAAATATTGTAAATGCCCTTGATAGTCTGTGTTTTTCATGCAAATTCCATTACAGTTATGGAAAGAAAGAAAGAAAGAAAGAAAGAAAATTTCTTTCTTTCTTTTATTTTTTTAATCTTATACAAAACTTTGAATGGTAGTTTATCATGGTTTCCACAACACTATTAAGAAGCACAATTGTTTTCAATATTGATAATAATAAGAAATGTTTCCTAAACACCAAATCAGCATATTAGAATGATTTCTGAAGGATCATGTGACACTGAAGAATAGAGTAATGGCTACTGTATATTCAGCTTTCCCATCACAGGAAAAAACACAAATTAAAAAAAAATAATAATAATAAATAAAAAACAAACAGACAGCAGTTCTTTCAAATATAATTTCACAATATTACTGTTTTTCTGTATTTTTGAAAAAAATAAATAAAATAAAAATATATTTATAAATTATATGTGCAAATTCATATGTATATATAAGGCTGACCTTAATACAACGAGTGCGCTCTGTGGAGGGCCATCTTCGAAAAAACCGAGGCCACCTAGCTCTCTTTGGCCAGTAGTTCATTAGCTCCACTGTAGGAACCAATTCCACCTCAATTTGTGCCTCTGATGTTTCCACAGCAACACGCACCACTGACCCAACTGATTCCAGCATACTCACCTTACCTGTCAAAGAAAGGCGAAAAGAAAGTTAAAACAAATGAAATGTAGCGTGTATATATGCTGTTACACTTTACGTATAGTGCACATTTTTGCTTGTCCATGTACCCAAGTAGGATTTATTCCTGGATCAACATCATTGTCAAACAGGGTTAGAACTGGGGATACTTAGGGGCTTGAACAACCTATCAACCTATAGTTTCATGTGATTTTGGCTCATTAGAATGTTGATATCATCACATTGTGCTAAATGGTGTTCATGTGTGTGGAAAACTGCGTCTACCATCAACACACTGAGCCTGCGGGTCAAATAAGAAAACAGTGCCTTTAAAAGCCCTGTCTGTCAAATGAGGAGCTTTTTAAACTTCATACGTAAACGCAATTTTTTCCCCCCAAACCAGTTCAGTGAAAATCCCACCCAGCAGCTAATTTCATTGGTTAAGGTTAGGGTTAGATGAAATGTTTAGAATCAGCTGTGGGGCGGAGTTTTCGCTGAACTGGTTTGGGAAAAAAATCACGCATTTGGCACAGCTCCTCTGTTTTCATAGAATATCCTAATAGCTGCAAACAAGCTTTTAATGACTGGAATCTAAATATAGCAGTCAACATTTGAAGTGGATAAAAAACGTTCATCAAAGTTGTCCTAAGACAAGAACGCATTTTGGTTTTAGGTTTTAGGACAACATTGATGAAAGGTTTTGATCCACTTCAAATGTTGACTAGTGTACTTACAGTGGGATCCATCTGAGACCATTTGCATTTTTCTAATGTAATACAAAGTTTTCATACAAATTATTCTCATAACAATTATATATTATAAAAATCTGAGAGAACACTTTAAATAAATAATGCAGTTAACGTGGCCAACATCGATAATTAGCTTAATTATATAATTATTAAATCATTTGAATATATATTACATTAAAATACATTAAATATTTCTCATTCATTTTACATAAGCAAATATTGTAAATGCCCTTGATAGTCTGTGTTTTTCATGCAAATTCCATTACAGTTATGGAAAGAAAGAAAGAAAGAAAGAAAGAAAGAAATCAATCAATCAATCAATCAATCAAATCAATCAAATCAATCAATCTGTTATCCCAGAAGAGTTGCATATCAGTAGATTATGATTGTTAGAGATTTTTGATTATTCACCAGACAATGTGTAAAAAATGAAATCGAAAACAGATAGAAATCTAATTTAGAAATCTCTTTTCTCTCATTCTGTTTGAGTAAACAAGTGGACACTATAAAAACTCTAACTTGTTAGTCCGCAGGTCTTTATGGATGCCTCCAGATGCTCTTTGAAGACATTCACCACCTTTGCTGGCACAATATCACCCTCAATGATCATGTGGGCATCATGCCACTCCTGACTCGGATTGACAAAACTCTCCAGCTCCAGCCACTGGTGGAGCTTCTCTGGCTCACGGACCGGTGAGAGGAGACGAGACCCGCTCAGTGTGTAGTAACGCCACTGACGCGTACGCCTCTCCTTATAGCCCATCAGACCCTGTAGGGGCACCGAAATCAGGAACAGAGTTGGAGTGAGCACCTGCCGAAATGAACGAGAAATCTATCAGTAAATACACAGAGCAAAGGAAATAACACAGCTGTACAATTGAACATATATATATATATATATATATTCACATTTATATAATAAATAAATTATATGTCATGAATTGCCGACAAGATGAAATTTCATATATGAAATTTGTATTATGCAAACAATGAAGTAAGATATAAGTTTATGATTATGCATTCTGCTTTATGTAAATTCACATGATAACTCATGAAAGAGAAATAAATAAATTAATTAGTGTTCCAATAAACTATAAACAAAAGACCTCTCAAAATGTCATAAATTCATTCATCACAATTTGCATGTGCATAAATTGGTTGGCTTCTAAAACAGCCCAATTTAGGAAAGGTCATGTGAACACAATATGGAAAAAGACTTGCAATCACTTGCAGGCCACCCATTAACACTCATTAACCATGTAGTCAATGATGGAGAGAAAGTGAACTAATGTCTTTTGGGTATAGCTAATTAATTGCAATACCAGTTCATTAAAATCATAAATATAACTTATTTATGCAATTAGGTCGAGAAAACTATGAACTCTGAAACTATATTTATATATAGGCTATATATAAAAAATAAAACCAACCTGAATAGTTTGCTTATCTCCCTCGTAGCAAGTCTCACAGAACAGCCAGACTTTCACCAGACTGTGCAAAGAGGATAGCAGCAAATATGTCCTGCACAGTGGATAAAATAGTGAATTTTCAAATTGTATTTTAAGGAGAAAGAAGCCTAAGAATGTTCCTGCAATGTGGCTGTTGAGATTTGTCGCCACCTAAAGGACAAATTCTATACCGCGCTTTGCCCTGAAAACAGTGACTACATTTCCCCGCATTCTGTTCGACATTAATATATAACAACACACCCCAGTGCACATTCAAAACGGTGTCATTCAAAACACAAAGACATGCTGACCTAACTCACTCTGCAGTGGAGATATCCGAGCTAAATCAGTGAGGTATGCCCTTGCTATATATTGTTCGTGTTGCATTTAGGTTGCATTATCGTAAGTGTTCATATTTGATATAGGCTAGTTTTGAACATTAGCTTTTATGCTACAACAAACTTGACAATAACACTGGTGTATGGTGGCCCTATCACTAAATATAATCTAGAAACATTATAGCATTATAACATTGTTGACAAAGCTTTGTAAGATCTGACTTAGCAAAGATCTAGCAAGTCCTAAACCTACAGGAAATGTAACAAACGAGCCCTAATTTGATTGGCAGTTTCTCCGCCAAAATAAAAGCTCGATGGTTTCACTTTTGAAAACGCCATAGCCACACTCTCAGAAATAAAAGGTACAAAAGCTGTAACTGTGGCAAATATCTACCATTCAGATATGTATCTTATAGGCACCTTTAGGGGTAAATAAGGTACAAAGGTAACTTCAGTGTAAATTTAAGTGTTCATATTTGATATAGGCTAGTTTTGAACATTAGCTTTTATGCTACAACAAACTTGACAATAACACTGGTGTATGGTGGCCCTATCACTAAATATAATCTAGAAACATTATAACATTGTTGACAAAGCTTTGTAAGATCTGACTTAGCAAAAATCTAGCAAGTCCTAAACCTACAGGAAATGTAACAAACGAGCCCTAATTTGATTGGCAGTTTCTCCGCCAAAATAAAAGCTCGATGGTTTCACTTTTGAAAACGCCATAGCCACACTCTCAGAAATAAAAGGTACAAAAGCTGTAACTGTGGCAAATATCTACCATTCAGATATGTATCTTATAGGCACCTTTAGGGGTAAATAAGGTACAAAGGTAACTTCAGTGTAAATTTTTATATAATATTGTTGTAAGTTTTACACTTGTACTGTAGAATAAAGTTATTTTCTTAAACACTATATATTTTTTATTTTACAGTGAAAAAGTATTTATTTATGTATTTTATCAAATTGTGCAGCGCTACAGTACAGTACAGCAAACCTGGAGGTTAAAAATAAATAAAAAAATGTTTATCTATCTCAAAAGTATTATCTAGTAAAATTAGCACTTTAATACTTTTAAAGTATTACAAGTTTCATAACAAAGTTTGACAAGTTCAAATAAAAAAAAAAATAAAAATTAAAGGTGTATTGGACATTTACTAGTGTTTGAAATTTCTTTTTAAAGCAGTTAAGTTCATGCACAAGAATCACTCAATTTATATACTCAAAAGCAGCTGTTCAACTCAGTTTAGCATTATTTCATAATTTCCGTATATTTAGGTGCCGCTTTCATATAGGCACAATGAGCTGCTGGATGCTGTTACGGTTGCACAGCGGGGACCTCCGCAGATCTCTCCTGCCTCTGTACTGTTCCCTCAGCCTGCGAGCTCTCAGTTCTGGAGCTATCAGCCGCAGCTTGAGAGAGAGTTACCGTATACTGCAGTTGCCTGATGATGGAGCCAGCGACGCTGCAGAGGTCAAGGAGGCTTACCTACACATGGCCAAGCTCTACCATCCAGATTCCGGCGCTCCCACAGCAGACGCTGCTCTATTTTCCCAGATAGAGGAGGCCTATCGGGCTGTTCTAGCCCACCTCACCCGACAGAAGTCAGCCTCACAGTATACACAATCGATGGAGGAAGAAGAGGAAGATAAAATTAAAAGTAATGCCCCTCAACACAGACATTACCTCAGTTTTGAAGGCATTGGTTCTGGCACTCCAAGCCAAAGAGAACGACAGTACCGACAGTTTCGTGTAGACCGCGCCACTGACCAGGTTCTGGAGTATCGACGGAAGGAGATGGAGAAGGCGGCAGCAGACGAAGGAGCCATGGTGACCCGAGATGCACGTTTGCGCAGCAAGCAGATCAAAATCACTCAGGCAGTGGAGAGACTGGTTGAGGACCTCATCCAGGAGTCGATGGCCCTTGGAGACTTCCAAAACCTCAGTGGCACTGGCAAACCGCTCAACAAGTTTGATCACAACCTGTATATGGACCCCATGACGCACAACCTCAACAGAATCCTTATCGACAACGGTTACCAGCCTGAATGGATCGTGGCTCAGAAGGAGATCAGGGAAACCATTGCTAAAATGAGGATGAGGTTGCAGGAGGTCAGGGCAAGGCTGGGAGAACCCATGAGACACTCAGAAACTCTCCAGTGGAAGGAGCACTGCACTGCGTTTGCTGATGAACTGGGGAAACTCAACAAGAAAGTGGACAATTTCAACCTGATTGTGCCTCTTATGAGCAGGCAGATGGTGCATTACAGCCTGAAGAGAGAGCTGGAGAAAATACTGAAAACTGATCAGCTGCTCAGGCAGGAAAAGGAAAGAGAAAAAGAAAGGAAGCAAAAGGAGCAGATGGAGACAGCAAGAACATCTCAGAACACCAGACAAGGACTCATCACATGGATGCAGAATCTTCTTAAATGAGGCTGCAATAAAATGCGGAGTTGTATTTCACGTGTTGGCCTGTTATTAGTGTGATTAAGATTATTTTGCCCCTTCCTTGTTTTTATCATGTAACAGAATGTAACAGAATGTTACAGTGTAACAGAATGTCACTGTCATTCTGTTACACTGTGGAAGCTTCTGTCACGAAAACAAATTCCTCGTATGTGTAAACATACCTGGCAATAAAGCTCATTCTGATTCTGATTCTGATCATAATTGTAATACAGTATGAAATAATTATTTTGTTTTATTAAAAACTAGCAGAAATCTATCTATCTATCTATCTATCCACACATATATTAAAATATCTTTATTACATTTTTATTACATTTATTTTTTTTATTACATAATAAAATATTATTACAAATTACATTTCTATTTTAATGTATATATATATATACTTTTTTAAATGTAATTGATTCTTGTGATGGCAAAGCTGAATTTTCAGCAGTCATTACTCCAGTATTTAGTGTAACATAATGCTTCAGATATTATTAATATGCTTATTTCGTGCTCAAGAATATGAATTATTACCAATTTTAAAAATATTTGTTCTGATTAACATATATATGTACAAAAACGTATAAAATTCTTTATTTTCTTTTTTGATTTTTGGGAGAAATAGATCTTTAATATTAATTATTAATATGAACAAATTAAGTAAATTATTTGGCAGATAAATATGAATGTAAATTATGTATTAATAAGGAGGCTTGGCCTTTTGACACTGTATAATTTGTCCCAAAGAGCCCTAAAATCAAATCGCTTAATAAAAAGGAATTTACTTTCAAATTCATTTTAATTACAAATTCCTTAAAAAGAGAGTGATTTTGTCCACAGTCTCAAGCAGTAATTATTTTGTTTCTGTGGAGTTGTCATGCCAATCATTCATGATCAAGCATGTAAGGTATTCTTGGAAAATCCTATTAGACTTCTCAAACATTCCATGACCTTATAAATGCCAATTGAACATGATAATTTTATGACAAATGGCAACAGGGTTAACATACTGATCCACAAAATCCCACAACTGCTGAAGGTTGGTATTTGTTGGGACATTGTGAACTAGCCATAAAACTGCAGGTGAGATGACCCGGTGGAATTTATAAAACCAAACTGGCTGTAGAATCCAATTGCTTGATTTATTTTTGACATAATGAACAACTGTGACACTTTTTTTTTTTTTCAATTTAATGAAGCAGAAAATCAAACATATACTCTGTATAGAAATTACAGAAATCACTGGCTGTAATCTAGGCCTGCTCCTGCTCTCTTCCACTGTAGCCCGGAAGGTGTCCGAGGGCAGCTGGGTTGCTGATGACCACAGGAGAGGCTATACTAGCCCAGTCTTTAGCTATATACTGATGATATGGATCCTGTGAGTTCTCCACCTTCTTTGAGCGAATATAGCTGAACATGATGCCAAAGGTGAAGAAACTAAAGAGTCCCACCATCAGACAGATGTAGATCATGCCGTGACCTTTATCTGGGACCGGAGCTCCACTCAGATGCACAGGTGGATGATGTGGTGGCGCATTCGGAGCTGCTCCCACCAGCCATGTCT